TCCCACTGGTGCTGTGCCCACTGATGACCAAGAAGTGGGGGCTGCTCACAGCTAAGAGCAAAGACAGTTGGTGGGAGTGACAGGGGGCTTCCGGGTCACCAAAAGAGAGAAAAGAGCAAAGGGGCTCCCACTGAGTAAACAAAAGCCCCCAAAGAATAGGAAACCCCATCTTGCCGGCGGCCACTTGGTGGCTTTCCCCTTAGAGACAGATCCCTTCAAGGTATTCTCAGGGCTCTAGGAACCCGAGCCCTTACGCTGGTGACACTTGAGGCCCTTCCCTAGCCTCTTCCTACAGCCATGAAAGGGCAATCCAGGACATTGGGAATTAAGCAATGTCAAAGAAACAGATCCAGCAGTGAGTGCTTTGACTTGCGAGAGTAAGGACACTGTTGTAGATCACAGACCCTCTAGTTGCCTTTCTCTCTATCCCAGACATTTAGCCACATACCCCCTGCTGCTCTCCACCTCTCTAGGATACAGTTAAGAAGCCCTGCTGTTCTGTGGCCTTGCAGACCTCCCCCTTATAGCTGCAATTCTAAGATCATGGTTCTATCTAGTACCTGGCTCCACGTAATGTCAGGAGTTATATAGATCTCTCTAGACTAAATCACATGCTATCAAACTTGCTGCTACCTGGGATCAGATGGCTTTTCTTCAAGACCTATATTATGCTGTACATAAAGACTATCCTTCCTAATAAAGTACCTCTCTAGGATGCTTCTGTCTGTTTGTTTGAGACAGGGTTTCTCTATGTAGCCCTGACTATCCTGGAACACTGTAGACCAGGCTGTCCTCAAACTCACAGAGATCCCCCTGCCTCTGCCTCCCAAATGCTGGGATTAAAGGCATGCGCCTCCACCGCCCAGCTCTGAGAGGTAATTTCAAGCTTGATCCTTTCCCAATAGAACCAACCTGATGCATCTGGCCTCTGATTTATAACCTGACTTACTGTTTTGGAATGTCTCCCTTCTTTGAGAAAAGTGACACTTGCTGGGATTCCTAGTACTCAGGTAGAAGGATCATGAGCTTGAAGTCAATCTGAGCAACATGAGACACTGTCTGAACGAAACAAAAATTGTCCCCATTTTCTGCTTCCCAAGTTCATGCAGAGAGCATCACCTGCCACTGTCACCTGGGGTAGAGACAAGAAACCCAGGCCTGGAAGACTCAGCCTGTGTCCAAGCAGAGGCTAAAGTAGATAGATTTGGACATATGATCAGAAGAGAAATATGTGGGAAATGGAGGCATGATCGCCTCACTGTTTTGGTTTTTGAGATGAGGTCTATTGCCCAGGCTGGCCTGAAACTCACTCTATAACCCAAGCGCTGGGGTTCCTAGGAATGAGCCATCATCCGCGCTTTCTCTGTTCTCTTTCAAACCCATATTACTGAATCAAATTTGAGGTCTGACATTTTTATCCCTACTAAAAGGATTGGCCTATGACAATAAAGGGAACACGTGTGAGGTGCTCAGTGCACACAGACTGAATCCAGAACCAAAGCTTTCCATAAATACTGTATTATTGTAATGTGAAGCCCAGCTT